CGACGCTGTGCTCCTGCCTGATACATTTCTGGAGACAGGACATGTGCAGATGGCGATCTGCTACCTAAAGATGATCAAAACCATGGTAAGGCTGAGCAGGTGACAAGAAGACTCTTCCTGCCCTGGGTTCTCCTTTAAGTTTTCATCCCCATGCCAGGTGCAGTGGAGGGGATCAGGTGACATGGGCCAGGAGAATGAGAGCCCCGGCTCTCTTCTCCAGGGGTCTGAGAAATTCAAAGTGGAAGCAGATGGGAGTATCAATAGTATATGTTTAAAAACTGCTTAGTGATTAAAAACCATCTAGAAATGGTGATATCTGAGCAGATCTGGTACAAAACAGGAAACCAGTGGCCTGGTGAGTTCTCACACTTGGAGACCAGAAGTGAAAATGTTCTGCCTGCCCAGAGCGGCAGCAGGCAGACAAAACAACAGGTGGGACAGCACTGGAGGCTAAGGCCTCGATGGATCCCTGTCTCCTGAATTTTCCCTGCAGAGCCATGGGGTACTCGCCCCCTCCCAAACCCTTGGTTGAGGTTTCTCATAGATAGTCATGGAGCTCTTGAGAGAAGATGGGTGGAAATTTTCAGACGCCTCATCTTCTAATCTAATCCAAGTTCTTTCCCTCATAGCTGAATGGCTCAAGCTTTCTGGGCCTCAGGTACTTGTTAATACAGTAAGGCTGCCATTGGCCGTGAGGACTGTAAGGTTCCTTCTGACTATGAGGCTAATTCAGAGGCAGGCAACTTCAGTTCCACAATGCTGGGCATGGGGGCGCGGGTAGAGGTGAGTGGAGCCCACCTATGGCAGGTACTCAGTGACTGACAAGAGAGTGAAGGCCTGCATACATGCTGAATGTCCTCCTGGTCCTTTTCCTTCTTTCCAGGCTTCATCCCCTTAAGTTAGGCTTTTTGTCTGGTCTATATCCCTGAGTACCTACAATACCCTGGACGTGTAGGGTGAGGACATCTGGGGAGAGAATAATCAAGATATCATGTGATTAAGCTAAGAAAAAGATACAAGCCGGAAAAATAAAATTTCACATCATAGTTATCTACAGCCTTCTTTTTAGGCTCAGCCTGATGTCTCCCAAGTGGCTGCTTAGCCTCAGTCAACTATCACTTTCATTGCCATCTCATGTTGGGTGTTGTATCGCTTCAACTTCTTTTTACTGCTTTCAAAGGCTTCTTTTACTTCAATGGAGGAAATCTATTCATTCAGGCATTCACTCAGTCACTAAAAAAATTATTTACACCCATCATAATGTGCTAGGCATCTGCTGGTGCCAAGGATATAGAGATGAGTCAAAGGGCTCACAGTGAAATTGTTATAGGGTAGTTTCTTTAGAAATGGCTTGCCAAATAGAAGCATTCCAGGTCTTTCTTGCCTGGAACAAACAGTTGGATAAGACAAGTCAATAATGATGCCAAAAGTTTATCTGAAAGGTGTGGGGTAAATGGGTATGGGAAAACCAGCTCTGGAGGGTGAACTTGGGCTGAACAAAAATAAAAGCACACACTGTGTATGAGAAACTCAGGAAGGATAGCAGCTTTCTGTGATGGCCACTCTTCTTTTACGCTGGTGCCACATCTCGTGGGAGCTGGTGAGAAGGTCTACACATGGGATCCTTGAGTTGCCCTGGCATCTTGTAATTGACATTTCCTGTTAACTTCCCCAGCTATCTTTTCCACACCCTATCTCCTTCATCAAAATGAGTACTGAACGTAGTACATTCAATGACAGCGCTATGTCCAGGACATTAAGGGAAGAAATTGGCCACAGCTACTGTCTCCTTTTGACAGACAAGAAGGCCATGGGCCAGAGCTGACCCAGCACTCATATCCAGAGAATAAATAGTGCCTTGGTGAACCTTGAACCCAGATCTCCTGAGGGCTAGATCACAGCTGAGCGTTTTCCACTCCCTGGGGCTCTTGCCTCTTTCTCTTTGTCTTAGGGCATCTGCAACCTTGCTATGAGAGTCCATTAGCCTGAGAAGACTCACAGACACCCCTCCATATGAACCCCTTTCCCGCTTTCTTCCCTCCACAGCATCAGACTACAGTGTTTGCTCTGTTACTTGATTACTTGTACTGTATCTTCATTCCAGCTTCGAACTGTGGACTCAGGTCTTAGGGTAGCTGCCACAGAACTCAATCTTAGGGTCTTCCAAGCTCCACTTAGCATAACATGCTAGACTATAAATTTCACTCTAGTTCAGTCCAGCAAATGTGTGTGTAGCACTACTATGTACTTGGCACTGTTCCAAGCACAGAGAGCACCAGGAAGAATATGTCACACTGGCCCTTTCATTCTTGTAGGTGAGAGTCACTGGAATCTTCTACAGTGATGACAGGCTACATATTAAAAGCACATGCAGGGTCTGAATGGCCCAGGGAGGCTTTGCAGAGCAGGACACTTGAAGGAGCAAAGCATTTGAGAAGAGCATTTGGGTGAGGAGCTGCATGTGCAGTGGCCCAGAGGCGGGCACAGCGTGGCATGTGGGGGAGGGCAGGGGTGTGTGAGGGCTGGAGCGGAGCGGTGCTGAGGATGCGAAGGGGAAGAAAGCAGAGTGGAACAGGAAGGACAGAGAGATCCTGAAGAAGCTTCTACCTTAAGCTAAGACTTTCAGTGTTATCTCACAGGCAGTGGGGGACCACTGGAAGGCAGAACGAAAAGCCCAAATTTGCGTTTAGTCCCCTTAATTCAGTCAGCAGTAGGGAAGGTTATCTGGAGGGGAGTGGTGCTGGACGCCAGGAAATTGAACAGAAGGCTGTGGCAAATGATCCCAATGAGTGATGATGAGGACTAAATTGGGTGGGGATGGAGGAAACAGGAGGGGGAGTCGCTGGGGAGCTGTTGACGAGGTGAGACCGATAGGTCACCTGATGGTCAGCTTTTCCGCTAGGGGGAAAGGGAAGGTGAGGCAGGATCTCCACGACCCCTGAGACCGCGCGGATGGGAGTAGCATTAACCAGGATGGGCAACACTGCAGGAAACCAACAATAAGAAGGGAAAGATGGCGGTTCATGTCTGGACATGTTGGAGGAAGAGGGAAGTGAGAATTGTATATCTAAGCATGGGAAGAATGAGTCTGGGCCGGCAGTTACCAGCATAAGGGAGTTGGTAGACTATTCCTAAGGGCAAATTCAGTAGAGCTGGGGACTAAAGTGTGCTGAGGAGTGCAGCATGCAGGACCCCTGGATTGCACACCCACAGGGGTGCCATTCCTGGTTTACAGAACACAGGGTGTCTCTGGAGTTGCAGATGGAGCAGAAGCAGTTGGAAGAAGTCAGCGAGTGAACACCGCTCTTTCAAAGAGCTGACTGTGAAGGGTGGCAAAGAAGGAGGTGCTGGGCAGGAAGCTTTCAGTTTCCAGACTTGCCTTCTCCAAGGACACCCAGAACACGGCAGCTGGGGCAAGTGCCCCCTGCGCACGTGCTGTTGACCCTGTACACATCTTCATCAAAGCGTACACAGCAGATGCCCCTGATTCCCACCCTTGCCTGCTCTCAGTCCTCCTCAGTATCCAGTTCTGAGCAGGCACCAGCTTCCTTGTGCTCACCTCCATGCCCATCACATGCACGTCGCTTACTTTCTGACCTGGCTTTTCCAATTTGGAGTCGGGGGAGACCCAGGCAGCCTCCAGCACCAGATCAGGCTGGTGATGGCACAGGGAAGACTAAGGAAGCAGGAGTAGAAGCAGAGAGAAGATACAGAGGTCAACTGGTCCAGAGGGAGAGGTAATGATGGACCTGAGCAACATGGCAGGGGTGGGTGTGATGACAGATGACCGGAGTCACTGTCTGCAGTGTAGAGCTGGTAGGATCTGCCTGATGGATTGGATGTGGGGCAGAAAGGGGTGGCTCCTGGAGTGTCCACCTGAACGGGGGCGGGGTAATGGTGCTCTTTGCTCAGGTGGCAAAGACTGAGGCAGGATCAAGAATGTATGCAGGGTCATCCAGGGCACTGTTAGAATGCAATTCTGAGATTTCTGCTAGACATCCAAAGGGACCTGCTGGGGAGACAGTTGAGTAGTTTGGGAGGGTACAAATCTTGCTCGGACACTTGGAAGTCATCAGCACTCAGGTGGCACTTACAGGTATGGACTAGTTGACACGGTTTAAGGGGCAGCAGGGAGAGAACAACCAGTTTTCATGTGACAAGCAGAAAATCATCCAGTGATTTCCTAAAGGAGTGAAACATTTTCAGACATCAGTGTGTATGGGAGTCACCTACGACTTGATCCCCTGTAACTTGTTTCCTAACGCAGGTTCTTGGGGACCAGCATTCAGAAACTCGGGTTTCAGGGAGAAGCCCAGGAAGACAAACACCCCAGCTTCTTCTAATGCAGGTGACACTGTGAGAAACTCTGCCCTGGGGGACAGGATGAGGGGATGTGGGGAAGCAAAGAGCAAGGGACATTGCCAGGGCTGGGATGACCAGGTAGTAGGTCACTGCTGATGTACTTTCCATTGTTCCTTTCTGGTTTTCTGCAAGCTCCTTATCTCTTTCGTTTTCATCCACTTCAAGAAAAACTGGGTATTGCCCTTTACAGGTATTTGTTATAGTCAGGTAAAACAGACTCTTACCCTGTTTTTCTGCTTCCTGGCTAGCCCCTCATATGGAATATTAGTTTCTTTTGGGGCATTGGTTACTGATGGTGCTAATGCATTCATCAATGTGTCCATTTGCTTGACATTTATATGGCATGCTCCCTGAAGTGATATCCCTTTTGTACACAGGGCAGAACATCATACCTGTCACATAGTAGCTGTTCACTGAAGAACTTAAATGCCGTCTACAACAAAGGCTTCCAACTAGGTCTCCCTGTCTTCTGCCTTGTGTGCGCTGATGCATGCCTTATGCATTAGCCAGGGATCTTTTTAAAAACATTAATTACATCCTACCCAACTCTTCCTCACTAGGGTATTGACTTGGTCCCATCACCCTTCTTGGAAGTTTATGGGAACTTAAGTGAAGTTAAGATGGATCTGATAGTGAGAAAAGGTGCTGCAGGTCTTTAATAACAATGCATTGAATTTTAAATTATGAGTGTGCTTTAAAAAAAAAAAAAAAACCCTTCAACCCTTCGAGCATTACAGGAAATAAATGAGTCAAGTTTTCTGACTTGATGAGTCTAGTATCTCAGGTCCTTTAGGCTGGGGTTTGATAAAAGCAACCCTAATTGCCTTGACCTGCCTCTCCTGGTCACCAGCCCGCTGTCTCAGGTGGTCTCTGTGATGATGTGTGCATGGTGACGGGGTTTAGAGGTATTTTGGGAGGATGAGGCAGTCCCTTGACTACTGCTATTTACAAATTCAAGAAAACACAATTCAACAGAATTTCCTCTTCCACCATTTCCCCTCTCTTTACTAAGAGGAAGTTCCATTAGCTCATACACACAGAATCACATACTCCCTCAGCCTGGAAAAGCCCTCGAAGGAGGTTGCTCAGCTAATGAACTACTGGTGCCTTTTGCTGGGGACTTTAATTTGAATTCCGGAGAAGACTGAAAGTGTCTCATCAGCCCTGCTGCCTGGAAGAACTCCCACAGCCCAGGCCTTGACCTGTGCTCAGAGAGCAGCTTCAAGGTCAGGCCGAGGAGCCAGGAGACTCCCACTCATTCCAGCACAAGAAAAAGGCTGGCCTGCACCACCCGCTGCACCTCTGTCCTGCAGGCTGCTCCAAACGCTGTCTCTTTCCACCAAATTGGTTCCAGTTCCTTCTCAGAGGGTAACTTCTCTTATTATCTGTACCTTTATCCACCCCTTGGTCAGGTTTCATCCCACCTGCCCCAGCAGACTTTTCCACAGAGGAGAAGCCAATGTAACACCTTGTTTCCAGGAGAAAGGAACCACCCTGCATGTCTTTCCAGTCCCAACAAGGAGCCCCCAGTTAGGAATAGGCAGGTCCAAGATGGCCATTAGCCAAGTTCTCTGGACAGTCAGCATCGATGCCTCTCCAGAACTGCTTACTTTCTCAGAGTGAAAGGGGAGAGGTGTGTTGGAGATGACATAGGGGAAAGAGATGAGGTGTCCCCAGTCACTTGCCCGGGGATCCAGGCTGAGGGAAAGTGTAGCACACCAGAAGCCCTAGGTTAGTTCCTTCTGCTGGGCTGAGCTTCGGGAGAGATTCAAACCCACATGTGGCTTTTCGTGGAAGCAGCAGGCTGAACAGTGCGCAGATGGCTTCCGCACTTATGAGAACCGCCCAGGACACACCTCCAGGGGGAGGCAAGCAGATATGGCTGCAGGGAGGTCTGATCTGCCCACTTCCTGGAAGGGCAGGCCTCACAGAATCTCCTTTCCAGTTGTCAGAGGTCAGATCCAAAACACTGCGGTGTACTTTCCACTGTTTCCTTTTTAGTTTTCTGCAAACCCCTTATCGCTTTCATTTTTGTCCGTTTCAAGAAAAACTGTATTTCCCTTTACAGTGTTAACAGCTATTTACACATGGAACACCGCATGCGTGGCACTGTGTTACATTCTTTTATATGCCATCTCACTTACTGTCACAACATCCCTGGGAGGAGTTATCATCTCTGCATTATCGGTGGGGAATCAGAAACTTGGGAGGTTGAGAAGTTTTTCCAGTCACAGGCAACTATGTTCACACAGGATTCTGGAGCTGGTTCTGTCTGATCTGAGCCTGAATCCTCGTTCCTGTTTCCTTAAGGCAACATGACGCACCCTTTTCACTATCATCCGATTATCAGCAACCAAGTCCTCCACCAGCCACTGTTTCATCAGAAATCTGTGGTTTCACAGGCTCCTCACTGGTCCCAACAATTTATTGGAATACATTTTTTAAAAACACCATACACCACTCACTCACAGAGATCTGTGCTCCATCACAGTCACATCCATCTTCTCAGTGGCACTTCGCGTCCCTCTGAGTTCGACAAACCAAGCATCTTTTCCCGTTTTGCAGACAAGGAAACTGGCTCAAGAGTAGTGACTTGCACAACATCACAAAACTAGAGACAGTGAATGCAAAACTAGAACTCCAGGGCCCCTGAAAGACCAAGAATTCCTTCCCTGACTGTGCTGCTTCTTCAATAAATAAATGAGCAAAATAAATAAATAAAGTTTTTAAGGGAACCCTGAGCAACCTTCCTCTAGGCCTGCTGCCAGAAGGAGTTATCAGACGGGCACCTATGAGCTTGTTGGTAGAGCGCCACGGCAGAATTTTCAGGGCCAGAAAGCCCATGTTCCGAATGCTACAGAGAAATGCAGAGTTGAGAGATAGCCCTGGAGGGCATCCAAAGGCCGCCCCTCCTAGAATCCTTGGCTGGGGACTGTAAACTGACTTTGTTTGAAGACAGATTCTTAAGGGAAAGCAGGGCCCACATCAGCCCGCCGGGGCCCAGTGACTGGCAGTTGTCCAGGCACAATGCCAAGGACTCCTCCTAGATGTCAGCCCCCGGCACGAGAAGGAAGCTGGCTCTGGGCAGATGGGTTCCAGAGTCTACTTCCTTTTAGGCCGGAGTCTGCAAAGTCTGTCCTAGGTCTCAGTCCCTTTGTCCCTCCTTGGTGCCATAGTGACGTAGTAACTGTCCGACTGCCTGGCCAGGACAGACACACCTTAAGCACTTCCAATGACAGGTTCTCTGCCTGAGAAGACTGCCAGTGGAGGAACATCTCCATGTGACTTACCACCCCTCTGATCAAACTGGGCTCTGCTCCTGCTTCTCCTAGAAATGACCCCCTGCAACCTTGCAGCAAGGGATGGGGCAAGCTCCCTCTCACAGTACTCCAACCCGCCAGCGGCCCTGATACCTGACTGACCTTTCTTGTCTCAAGAAAACCCTGTGGTTCCTTGAGCATCGACTCGTTTATGGGATAGAAAAAAGCCCAACAAGGAAGGAGGTCTCTGCCTGCCCTTCTTGGCTTTGCTAAGGTCTGCAGGGCCCACCCAGCTAAACAGGTCAGCACCATCTGTGCCACCTGCACCACTCCATCAAGATGGCCTACACCTGCCCTGGGGGACAGACTACAACTGACCCCGGGGGCTTACAGACTGGCCTGCATCCTCTTCTGACCCCTGGGCTCTTCCTCCTGCTCCCAACAGTTGAGCAGGCATGGCTCAAATAAGACAACAGCCCCTTCGCATGAGTCACTCACTTGAGTACAGGCTGGAGATCAGAGGCTGGGTAACTAGGTCTGAGTCAAAGCTGCCCAAGAGGCCTCCTGGGGCTACCACACAGTCCTGAGGGGCCAGATCATGGGCAGGATTCCAGTCAGATGGTCCCAGGTTACCACAAGTAGTCAAACCCAGGAGTGGCCACTCCTCAGTCAACTGGTTCCACTGGTTCCGTCCTGGTGGGACGCCTGAGGGAGCCAGAGTTATTCCTGGGGGATCCTGCTTCAAATAGCCCTTGGCCAGAGTTGGAGAAGGCCAGCCTGCCTCAGGATCCAGGCATGTCCTGAACTGAGGGCAAAGGTCATCTGTCAAAGGGGTCTCTTCCTCCAGGCAAGGTGCTACAGTTGTCTTCTCTTCAGTGCATCTGGTCTGTTTCAGGTAGCCCTGGAAGGCCACTGTGGCTGGGTCTTCTTCTTCAGGGACCTCAGGACCTGGGAGAGTCATGTGGCCCAAGGTTGAGCTGCCCTGTGTGCTCCCAGGTTGCCCCTCAGAGTTTTGGATAAGGCTAATCCCACTGTCATCCTGGCCTTGGCTTGTGCTCCCCACCTTCTTCTCCCAAGGGGGCTCCGAGCCAGGGTTTAGGCCGGGCTCCTGCAGGCAGATCCCGCTGTCCGTGCTGCTACTGCTGCTGCCGCTGCCACTATCATTGCAGCCGACCTGCAGATCTGGGGACTCCCCCTTTCCCAGAGCCCCACAGGCCTGTAGGCTGGGGACAGGGAGGAACTGGGGCTCCTCCAACTGCAGGGATGGCTTGGTACTGCTGAAGCCACTGTCCATGCTGCTGTGCAGGTCTGAGATCCTCAGCTCTAGGGACACCTTCTGGAAGGAGTCTATGTCGAGCGGGTGGATGGTGTCCTGCATCTCTGGGTAGGGCAGCTTGCTGACGAGGACAAAGGGGCTGGGTTTCTTGAAGACCTGAAAAGGAAAGGACAGAGTGAGAGGGGCAGCTCAACAGGGGCTGCGGAGCCTGCGCCACACTGCAATGTGCTCTTTGGGGTGTGTTTTGGAATCACGCTTTTCTCCCAAAGTGCTCCTCAGTTTGGCCCAGGTTAAGGGCCTAGGAAGCTGCTATTCTCCAAACCCAGGAGCCTGAAAACTCTCAGACAATTCCATCCCCCAGGCTTTTCAAACATGAGAGCAGGCCGGGCCAACCCTTTTAGAAGTGTGTTTCAAACTTTTTTGACAATGACCTCCAAATAAAAAAATAAACATTACATAATAACCTGTATATGCAACTCACATATAAATACATGAGACAAGTTTCGCAAAAAAGAATCCTTCCTACTTATGTTCCGTGATACACTCTGTCCATGTTTTTCTATCCTATCCCACCCACTTTGTTTTTTTAAAATTCTGGCTACAAGATACCAAATTAGTTTCTCTACTCGCTGAGCTGTGACCCACACAAAACAGGGTGGCTGCAGCATGAGGTGGGGGGACGAGCAGCCAAGCACCGCTCCCCACTAACTGCCACAGGGAAGTCGCTTAGCCCCTCTCCCTTCCACTCCTCTCCCCTTGTCACAAGCGTGCGGTGCTGTCTTGGAGCCCATGCACATGCTGAGCTTTCTGCTGAGAGTAGTACTCCTCGGTACTTCGTACGGCTTGGTTCTCCTATCCCTGAGGCCTCAGCTCATGTCACCTCTTCAGGAAAGCCTTCCTGATTGCCCTTGTGGGAGTAACACTCCCACCATTCTCTCCATGTTCACCTTGTTTACTTCTTCCTGGCACTTGGTTCCTGTGATTATTTTATTTCTTTGTTTTCTGCCCTCTCTCAGCATACATATCTACATTCACCCCTCACAGAACATAAGCCCCTTGACAGCTGTCATGTACCAGCCTTGTTTGCTACTCTGTGCCAGAGCCTAAATTGAGCTGGCACTGGTAGACACTCATAGGTTTGATGACTGACTTACTGTTGCATATCTGCCCTTATTTTTGGGGTACAGTAAGTCTCTGACTTACACATGAGTTCCCCTCTGGGAGAATGGTTGGTCAGTTGGACTCGTTGGTAAGCTGATAGTCTTACCCAGTACACCTGCGAAAGTTTGCGACTCAAATGTTCGTAAGTCAGGATTTAACTGTATTTGATGACTCAAATGGGGCTCTTACTGGTAGAGTCTCTGCTACTGTCACCTTGTTTGGTGATTAAATCCCAGCTCTGCCTCTTATTGTCACTGGGGCTGAATTACTTATCTTCTCTGAGCTTTAGTTTCTTACCTGCAAAGTGGAGTTATGAAAGCACATGCCTCCTCAGTCTGAGGTTAGGCATGTGCCATGCTTAGAACCTTCTGTGATATGTCAAAGACACACAATAGGCTGAATTGAACTGTACCCTCTAATAATTCTAAAAGGGAAATATTATGACCTCTGTTTCTTAGAGGAAAACTGAAGTTCTGAGAAGGTAAGTGATTTACAGAGCCACACAGCAGCAAAGAGCAAACCTGGAATTTGTACTCAACTGTCTTGCTTTGAGATTCCCTGCTTACCTTGATGGGCTGTTAAAAAGGCCAGATCAAAGAGGCTGCTGAACGGGACAAACTAGTGAACTGAAAGTGCCTCGGGCAGCATAAGTTATTCATAGACCTAGTCATGACGGAGGTCATTAGATGAAGGCCATTGGGCTATATTTATCCAGAGAAAAGAACATTCCGGAGTACATTTGATTCTGTGATCCAAAGGCACCAAAGGAACAAGGACTTGTCATCTCTATCAAAATTTTGTATCCATGTCTCTCACTGCTTCGCGTAGAAGGTAACCTCTTACATACTGGCAGTAGTCAGGTCCCTTGGGACCAGCAGCCACATTAATCAGCTTCTTCCCAATGACATTTTGCATGCGGTGGGTGTTCAGTAACTAGCTCAATCACCACTTGACTCATCTGAGATGCCTCTCCTGGCCCCCATTTATCACAGCAGGAACCCCTTACCCCTCCCCTCTGCCCTCCAGCTATCTTCTCAGTCTCTGTCCCTAAGATAGGCCCTGTGTGAGTTTATCTTTAAGCTACCACCGTCCCAGCTTGAGGCCCTGCATGTGGCACATGCTCAGGGTGCTACAAAGCAGGCCAGTGGAAATGTGTTTTGGAACTGATCTGCCTGGAGCACAGAGAAAGGGGAATGACTACATGCTTCAGCCAGAACAGGAAGAACTGAAAACCACCGAGGGCTGTAAAAGCTGCCTGTCCCCAACTCTCCTCATCACACTGTGTACCCAGGGTACAGAGCTAGGGACACAGTTCTTTCTTGCCTGGAAAAGTCAAACAGTCCCGTCGTGTCCTCTACACTTTTCCTTCCAGGAGTTCTTATTCAGAATAATTTTAGAGATCCCTTGTCTCTCTCCTTGTTTGTTTTAGAGAGCCTGGATCTCTCCGGAGGTTTCCCTTCCCTCTGTGAGCCTCCCTGGGGCCCCCGCTTCCCTGACCCAGCTGCGTCTTTTGCAACTGAGCCCTTGGCCATCACAGAGCAAGGCCAGCTCTGGGGACTGTGATAGGTGACCTCTGAAAGAGACTGAATCGCATGCTGCCTGGGAGGGGCGGGTCCTGGCCTCCTCCCTCCCTCTTTGAGAACTGCAATCCTTCTTTCTTCCCCTCTTGGAGTCCTCCCTCATGGCAATGAGGGGTGGGAAGACAGGCTGCCTCCTTGACACTTCCTGCCCCTAGACCCTGTGCATAGAACAATCTCTCTGTGTCTCATTGTCCTCACTTTGCGAAGGAGTTGGTCCAAAAGCCTCCTGGTCACTGGGGTTTGTGATTACTCAGCACATGTGTGCGTGTGGTATCTGGGCTACTGGGAAGTACCAGTGCTTGGGGCTGGGCTTTGTATTTATTCCTCCGTCTGTCCCCACGGTGCTCCGTGTGGGTGCCTCCTCATAATGTCAGGGTTGAGGTGGAGGTGAGCAGAGGGGATAGACTGTCTGGGAGGGAAAGAGTTCCCTGCCTTCCCTGGAGCTCAGGAAGAGCCTGAAGTGATGGGGCAGAGCCCAGGAGACTCACCAGGACAGTGGGCAGTTTCTTCCGGCGCCGCACATATAGCTGGAGGACCAGACAGTAAGCCAGGACTCCACAGAGCAGCAGGAAGAGGGCGAAGAAGAGACTAAGGTTGGTCACAGTGAAATCTGCAGGCCCAGAGAGATGCATTTGTAGGCTGGCACCATGAAACACAGGAACAGTCCCCGTATACCCCTTGGCCACTCTCAGAAACCACTCAGTGAGTGGCCCCAGGCCACCTCTACAAGCAACTTGTTGGGTCTCAGTTCTACATGTGTCTAGTTTCCTGTGAATCTCTCTGGCCTTCTAACCCCTGCCTGATAGGGTTCCCTTATTAAATATGCTAAGTCGGCTTCCACTCTCGAGGGATGATCATAGAACAATCAGGCAGGGTTGTTCAGCAAGTAAGAACAGAGGCTTTGGGGTGGCTGACCGTGGTTCAAATACCAGCTTCACCACTTCCTAGCTGTGGGACTGTGGACCATTACTTAATCTTTCGGAGCTTTGGTTTGTTCATCTATAAAATGGAAAAAATTATAGTTCCTATCTCATAAGATGGCTGTGAAATACATAGTCCTTCTCATGTACCAAGTACTTTCCTTAACATCATCTGATCCTATGACAACTTCAGCAGGTAAAGACTACCACCCTCATTGTACAGGAGAGGATCCTGAGGCTGAGAGAGATTAAGTCACTTGTCCAAGATCACACACCTCCTAAGTGGTAAAGCTGAGATCAGAATAAAATTGGTTCTTTTATCAATGAATGAATGTAAAAACAAAACAAAACAAAAGCTCTTAAGGCTGCCTGGCATATACTTAGTGTCAACTCTGTGGTGGGACGTAGATGATAATGAGCTCCTGGGTGGTTTTCATAAACTGAAATGTAGGGAAGATCTATAATACGGGGGCACTTCTGTCCTGGCTGGCCCTGCTCACAATGGCCGGGTACTCCCCAAGCATTTACTGTTGGCGTGATCTGGGCACTTGACCTTGCAACCCTGAGTTGCTAGTTATAGCCTCCTGTGGGCACTACCCCCTTCCGAAGCCAGACTGCAAGATCCTCATGGGCAGGATATGGCTCTACACCTGAACCCTCCCGCCTGACGCCCCGCCAAGAGCCTGCAGTTGGGTTTCTGACGTCAGCAGCTCTTTCAAGGAGCAAGCTCAGTTCTGCTTCGTCTAGCGGGAGGGAGGGTAGGGAGAAGCCCTTCATACTGGGCTCTTCCTGCTGAGAAAGAACAGCATATGTAACAAACAGGAAGCAGCACAGCTGACTGTGTGGTACCTGGGGAGGTCCCTGAAAGAACCCCAGAATCAGGGGACCAGTGTCTGCCATCAAACCCCTGTGTAGGGGCTGGGGATTTAGCTCAGTGGCAAAAGCGCCTGCCTGGCAAGCGCAAGGTCGTGAGTTCGGTTCCCGGTACCGGAGAAAAAACAAAAAAAAAAAAAAAAAAAAAAAAACCCTGTGTGATTCTACAAAGTTGTGGACCTGAAGCCTCAGTTTGTACATCTCTAGAATGGGGGCAACAGGACCCTCTTAGGACTCCATGAGGATTGGGAGACATGTGGGGCAGTGCTCTGCACAATGCCCAGCCCCTACTCCTCAGCAAATTCTTCTGGGTTGTGCCAGCCTTGCCCTTTCCATGTATTTGCCAACTTACACTGCTTGGTGAGGACGATGCACTGCTCCTCTGACCAGATCCCCTTGTTGGCTCGGGAGCTGATAGATGGCTTCACTTGGACACAGAACTTTCCCACCTCTCCAGGGATTGGGAGGCTGAAGTTTTCATGGTTTACCTTCTCGCTGGAGAACTGAAATAAAAACAAAAATAATAGCCACATCCTCTTACACCATGGCACACAGAAGCTGAGAGCTGGAGGGGCCCTTTTTTTAAAATGCAGGCTGGGGGGCTGGGGATTTAGCTCAGAGGCAAAGCGCCTGCCTGGCAAGCGCAAGGTCGTGAGTTCGGTTCCCGGTACCGGAGAAAAACCAAAAAAAAAATAAAATAAAATAAAATGCAGGCTGGAGTTTGAACCCAGGCCCTGAGCATGCTAGGGAATGCCATGCCTCTAAACTATTCTCGGAGGCTTGGCAGGTAGGGGAAGGCTCTAGAGAGGCCCATGCCCATGCTTTCAGTCTTTTTTTACGATAACAAACCCCATGATTGTCAGTGCAGCCCAACCTGTCTGTAATCTGCATAACCAGTTCTGCATTACTAGAGAAAAGGGAGACTTTTATTGAAGCTGAAGATCTTTGCAGAGGAGGCTGGAATAAATTGGTGAAAAAGCAAGAAGATGGATTTTACACCATTCCAGATCTCCCACTCACAGGGGTGTCCTTGCGTGAGTTATGCGGCCTCCTTTCTTCATGTAGAAAATGGAATGCAATACCCACTGCCAGGGAGTCAGGGACAGAAGCTGTCACTTGTTTCATGTGCTGGCCCACAGTGGTAGACAGTGTCTTCCCCCTTGTCCTCCAGGAGCACTGGTGAGGGCTGAGGTCACGTAAACTCTCTCCTAGGACCTGCCTCTACTTGGTGTGCAGAACTCAGGGCGCACAATGGTGATTCCAGCCCGGGACAGCGGAGCCCCGGCCCTGTGGCTTTAGGGGGAACCTCATACCTTAAAGCTTTCTGGCACCTTGCGAATGGCGATCTCGTACTGGCGGAAGTGACTGAAGATGCTTTCATACGTGACACCTTCAGGGGCCACCTGGGGCCTGGGGAGCTGGATCTTTCCGAAGATGAAGCCCTCATGCATCTCTAGCTTCACACTGTCAACCTTCAGAGTCACTGAGGGGAGGAAGGGCAAAGCCATGAAGCCAAGGGCTACAGAGGGCCTCGGCATCCCACCCGTGTCTTGTTCGGGGGTCAAGCATTACCCCTTCTGAAGACGAGGCCACAGGTTTCCCAGCCCAAACCCATACAGACTTCTCAGGGAGCTCGTTCAAAATACAGATGCCCTGGGCCCTCTCAGGACACAGGGAATGTGAATTTGTCAGGCTGGGCTCTGGAAATATAATTTTCAAATGCACTCCCAGCTGAGTGCTGGTCAGTGAGCAGGCATTTGGGAGCCAGTGATCCCTGGGACAACGGCTCTCCCCTGGACCCTACAAAGCAAGCTTAGTATGCACAAGTGGTTCAAGCCCAATGTGTGGAACAGGAATTCCACTGAGTTCAGGGCTTACCCTTTCCTGTTACCTCTCCAGGAAGAATCTTGTCTTTTCTCCAGTCACACCTTCGTGTCCTAAGGGTGACTCGTAGGATTTGACCCCTAGATTGGGGGAATCTCATCCAAACTCTGTCTACTGCTCAGTGCCCTGAGTTCTTATGGATTCGCTTCCTCTCCCCAAATCAAGTTTTCTCCAAGTTCACGAGCCTGGCCCTTGTGACTCAGCTGCCCCGATCCACGCCCAAATCTCTCCTCTGTAGGATAAACAACTATAGTTCCCCTTTAAATTTCAAATAACTTTGGCTAATTTCTTTTAACCTTCTCCAAAGTCCTGACTCAGGCCTGTTTAGGCAACAAGTTCCCGGGTCAGGAAGCCTGGCCGTGCGATGAGCTCGAGCAACAGACAGAAGAGCACCATGCTAGTTTCTGGCTTGAAGGGACCCTAAAAGCCATGCTGCGGGTCAAGCGGAGGAAAAGTACCTTCATCCAGAGACAAGCGGGTGTTGGCCAAGGTCCAATTGGAGTATCGGTGGCCATCCACTGCCCGGACTTTGGCCCGGTAACCATTGGTATGGTACAGGTCTAGGGTGACCTTGGTGACATCACAGCACAGTGCCGGGGCCTGGCTACAGTGGGGCAGCGACTTCCATGGCTCTCTTCCATACCTGAGGATATAGCAGGGTAGGCACTGAGGGAGGAACTTAGGCCCAAACTTACTTCCTTTCAGAGCAGCAAGGGGTCAGGCAGAGCGCTCCCATAATGGAGAAACTGGAACAGCCCTCAGGGGATTCCCTGGATCCAGGGCCTCTATCCGCATAGTCACCCTTGGTTCTGGGACCCTATACCCTCTTCTCTGAGATCTACAAGACTGATGGGAATATGAGTAGCTCAAGTGCCATTTCTCAAGAAAGACCTGTTAGCTCACAGCATAGCCTATGCTCTCCCCTCTTCCAGCTACCTCAGCAGTCACGAGGGCTTCCTCATTCTCCAGTGATACTCTGGGTAGTTTTCCTGCTTTTCCAGTACAATGGAAAAGACTGAAGGGTCAGGGCAGTACCTTGACCTCTCACCCCAGAGTGACCAGCATACTGCTCAACACATGAGACCCAACAAGTTCTTGTCAACTGAGTGGACAAGCATTAGGGGCCCTTCTGGTCCTGTCTTAAAAACAGGTAGGTATGTCCTCATGAAAGGGAGCAATAGGGATGCACCCCCTCTTCCCACCTCCCTTCCTCCATCTTCTTTTTCCTTACCATTGGAGTTCCACCTCATAGTAGGTGCTTTTGGACTGATTTGAGATGGGGTGCCAGCAGAGGACGTGGTGGAAGAATTCTGCTTTAAACCACGCCATGGGAGGCTTGGGTAGTTCCGAGCCTGGGGAGAAAAGTGTCACCATCAGAGCTAGCACAGTTCACCTCCGGGGACAATGAGGACGATAGTGATGGTGAGGACTGTAACTTATTTACTGGGTAGTTTATGATAAGCTGAGCACTGTGCCTGGTGCTTTACATATGTTCCATTTATAACCACAGCAGCCCTGCATGGCAGGCATTTGTTATGGTTTGTGTCTGTGTATCCCCCCAAAGCCTCATGCAGTCATACGGTGGCTTCTAGAGTTTGTGACTGATTTGTGGATCAATACTGATATTACGGGTGTGAGTGCTACACCCACCCTAGAGTGGGCAGCCTATATACAATTTAAGGGACAGAAAGAGTCTTCTCTTGAGCTCCTCCTTTTTGCTCTTGTTGCTTCTGCTGTCTTCCACTGCCGTGAACTGTTGCTCCTCTGTCAAGCCACCCTGCCTTGGAGCCAACTGATTATGGACTGAAACCTCCACAAAGTGTGAGCTAAATAAACCTTTCCTTCCTTAATTTTGGGCATCAGGCATTTTGTCTTAGCAATGCGAGAAAAGTAACCAAGACAACATTTATTATCCCAATTTTACTAAAGAAATGGAAGCTCAGAGAGTGTAAGTGCCTTGCCCGAAGCCAACAGAGCTGGCAAGGTGCAGAGCAGGGACTTATATTCAAATGTGTCTGATTTCAAAGCTCATGTTGTGTCCTTATATCACTGCCTTTTGCTGGCTGCACTCAGAAGCTGCAGTGGTGGCTGAGAAGAATAGCTGGATGGGACACCTCCCCATGGAGAAGGCAGGGCCCAGGGCTAGGGCATGTCAGCAGTGAGCACTCAGGTGAGCTAGTCCTTGGATCTGCCCAACCCTTGTTCTTGCTCCAGCAGCATCCCAAGGCCTGCTCCTACCTCCACTCCTGGTCCCCACACTGGCCCCAGCCCAAGGCCACTTCTTTGGCACTCTTCAGTACCCTGCTTGTTGACACCTGCCTATTTCTCTTCACAGGTCTCCTGGCTCCCCCATTCCCTGGCTTTACCTATACCCAGATGCTCACCTCAGTCTGGGACAAGACAGAATGAATTAGCCCTGGTTCTAGACTGCACTGCAAACATCTCCAGAAAAAGCTAGCACCATGGGCTCTGGGGCGGGGGATGCTAAATACTAATCTGTCTCTACCCTGCCACCCCTGCAGCCCCCAACACACACCACTCGCCAGGAGAAACACTGACTCCAGGCACTTCATGCTAACACTGGGCAAATTATTTAACCTTGCTGAACCCACGCTCTCTTCTGTAAGAATGCAATCAGCACACCTACTTTAGGAATCTTACAGATCAGGCAACTGAAATATATGTAAGGACCAAAGCGGATGGGTTCCCCTTCTCTCCTCCCTTCTTCCCCCTGCAGTACAAACCCAGAGGTGCACTGGGGTTGAACCTAGGGGTGCTCTACCACTGAACTACACCCCAAACCCTTTTCATTATTAAGTTCTGAGGCAACGTCTTGTTGGAGTGCCCAGGCTCACCTCAGACTCAATCCTGCTGCCTCAGCCTTCCCAGCAGTCCCTTCCCTCTTTGATTCCTTAAGGTGGCTCCGTCTGACAGCCGCTCTGGTCACAAGTCCCATGTTCTCTTAACTTCTTGTCATCTCTCAAATCATGCTTCTGACCTCCTCACAGAAAACACATCTGCCCCATCCCTTGCTTTCCTTTATATACTACGTTGGAGCCTCTAGCCCATCTTTCCCTCTCTCTTTCTTCTTTTCTCTTTCTCCTTCTCCTCCTCCCCTTTTCTCCCCTGCCTCTCTTCTTCTTCCCCTTCTTCTCGCCTCCCCAGCCTCCCATCTTTTCTTTCTGACAGAGCCTTGCTAGGTTGCCCAGGCTGGCCTTGAACTTTCGATTCTCCTGCCCCAGCCTCCTGAGTAGCTGGGACTATAGGCAGCGAACGTCACCACGTCAGACCCAAGTCTGTTTCGATTGCAAAACATCAGATGGAAAGTGAAAAATGCAGCCACTCTTTGCACTGTTTAGGCATATCCCTATTTCAGCTCTTGATCACATGAATGACTGACCACATGTTTTCCTTTATATTCTGGAGTCTCGAGAGCTTTTTTTTTTTTTTGGTCTCTGCTCTCCCTAACTCTCTCTTGATCTCTTCAATTCTGGGCCCTTTCCTTGGCTCTCCCTGGCTTCTCAGCACCAGGAACTTCGCCTAAGTTAAGGGGTAGGGGCCAGGGTGAAGGAGGTAGATGACAGTGCGGGTGGGCTGGGGGCTGCAGACTTTCAGTGATGATCAGATGAGGGTGGTCAGTTCGGGTGAAGGAGAGGGCAGGGAGGGAGATGAGAAGGCTGAGACAGAGGACAGTTAGAGAATCAAACCCATTCCCCCGGGGTACAAGCAGTCCCACATTCGGAGTCAGAGAGACAAAATTTATCGTTTGTCGAGAGGCGAGGGGATGATGAACTTTTTGGAGGGGGAGTAAGAAAGGGGTGGCGACTATTGGCTGTACACACACATCTCTATCCACCGCCCAAGCCCTGTTAATTTCAGCCTTTTCCACTTCCCCAACAGGTGAGCCTGAAACCCAGTCTTGTCAGTGTGAAGGAGCGCCGGCCCGGGTCGAGGAGAACTTTCAAGGAAGACCCGGGACGGGTCGGGCTCGAGTCTGGTCACCCGTACAGTCGGCGGGGCGGTCGCGGGTAGATCAGGGCTGGATCGTGGGGCTTACCGTACGTGCCCACGCCGAGGCGCAGGCTGAGGAGCGCAGCCAGAGGCACTAGCAGGCGCGGCAGCATTCTGGGCGCGCCGCATCGTCCAGGGCCGGAGCCGGGTGCGCACGTCCCACCTCGACTCCGCTCCGCAGAGACTGAAAGCTCCCGCTGCTTCGGGCGCTCGGAGAGGCTGCAGACGTCATGGGGCGGGACCTACGAACGCCCCGCCCCCGAAGTCCGGGCTTCCGGGATCCTGCGTCCGACAGTGGGTCCTTTGGGACTGTCCCATCGGAGACCGCACCGGGCTCCTGCCGGCTTTGTCCTTCTCCCATTTGACTCCCATCGGGTCAAACTAGTCCGGGTAGCTTGAGCTGGCGGGCGCGCGCGTGCGTGTGTGTATGTGCGCTCGCGCACCTTCCACTGGGTGCGGAATCTGGATGGAAGATGAGCTGATTTTACCGGGTCGGTGGGGTCAGGATTAGAGCTGAGACCTAGCTACTGTGAGTCGAGGGAGAAGGCTGCCCCAGGTCAGGTGTGCGAAGACATGAGTGTGAGTCCTGGTGGCCTCCGTGCAGGACTCTCAGCTAACACTAAAGTACACCTTCAGTTGCTAACAGTTTTACCTCTCTTCTGTGTTCCTTGGCTCAGCTGAGATTTCCGTCCAAGTGCACCAAAGATGTAAGGATATGGGAGACAAACTATGCCCCTCCCTTCAGTTTTTGTGGAGAGTGACACATGCTACGTGTGTGTGTATGCGTGGGAATGTTTATACGTGTACTTGCGCTCACATGAGATTTGCAGTAGTGAGTCTACCTGGATTTGGATTCAGCTGTGTTGCGCAAGAGCCTGTGGGTTTGTTTGGCAGGTGCATATATAGATGAGCGGGCCTGGAAGTACTGCCCTTGCTTTCAGAGGATGGAGAGACCAAGGAGGCACCTGGCATTTCCAAGCTAGGGCTGGGGTCGCTAGGCTGTACCTGCCCCTGAGAGATTTCCCCAGAAGTACCCAGTGCCCACACTGAAGGTCTTATCCCCTGTACCCTTTGAGAAAGGGGCCCCAGCTTGGGTGTGTGTTAATGAACAGCGTGTGTCTGATGTTAAGGCATTATCGCCATGGCTTGTGAAGTTGTGAGCCCTGTTCAAATGCTGTCAGAGTGCAAGTCTCTCTGCCCAGTTGCCTGTACAGAGTGAGTCAACTTCCACCCCTGGATGGGGGTGGGAGTTGGAGGTCCCATCTGGGCCTGAGAGTGTACACTGAGGCCAGAGATATCCCACTCTGGGTGATAGTGAAGGCCAGGATGCCCCAGCTAGATGTATGGTGGAGGGTGGTAGCTGCAGGTCCGCCAGGACATGTGATCAATCAAAGCCACCCTCAGGAGAGAGCTGTAGTTACCAATCCTCAATCATCTGGGATGGAGTGCTCCAGGTTTTTTAATGTGTAAGGATGTTTTTTGCACTGTCTATTGCTCAACTGACAAATGTAGATGGCAAATTGCTCAGGAGTACCCGGACATGACGAAAGAGGTGTGGCTGCCTTCTGAAACAATTTCTTAGTTCCTGCTAACATTTTAAAGGAGGATACTATATGATTTCTTTCTCATATTGTCATTATTTTTAGTTTTTTTGTTGTGTTGTAATAATTGAAAACTCAATCCACTATTGTTTTGAAGAAGGATCAGGATTATTCATTAATTCACATGGCCAACATTTGCACACTTATTGTGAACCAGATAATAACTATTGGAGACCCTTTCCATGGCACCAGTTATCAGGGACCCCTGCAGTGTGTCCCCGATATCTTGCCCAGAGTTGCACTCACAGTGGGAAGAAAAAGGGAAAGAGACGAACTAGAGGTGCAAGCAGGGATCTGGGATGACCAGTTGTTCTTGGGGAGCAAAAGGCCATGAAGTACCCAGAACCTTGGTGTTTATTCATTACATCTGAGTCAAGGACAGTGGGTGAAAGGCAGTGGGTATTTCCTGGAACAGTAGTGGTGACTGTGGTGGGCTAGGAAGAAAGACAAAGCATCTTGTAAGGACAAGAACAAGAATAAGATGGTGGGGGGCAATGATGGAACTGTAGTTTCACCAGATGCCTTATCATTTCCAGTAGGTCTCACCTTGCCCTGTGAAAGCCATAGCAGTCACTGGCCCTAGGGCTTCCAGCTGTGACCAGAAAAGAGCAGAGAGTTTCCACGTTCAAATCTGGCTCAAGCGCAGGACAAGAAGAAGCTTTGGACATCCCCTAGACCCCAACAAATAATGCTGTGCTAATACTGATGCGGTCCATAAACTAGTGATCAAAACTCTGTCCCTGGGCTGGGCATATAGCTCAGCAGCACAAGTGCCTGCCTGGCAAGGGCAAGGTCATGAGTTTGATTCCTGAGCCAAACAAAACAAAACATACCCCTTTTTAACAGTATGATTTTTAGTAGTGCAAACACTATGATGTTTGCAGTACATGTTTACAGTTATTGTGGGGGAGTTTGTACATGTACACAACACATTTTAATTCTTTTCTTAGGCTCTTCCCCTCCTACCCCTCCCTGCTTCCTCCAACTCTTGTTTCCCTTCCCATTTGCAAAAGGGCTGTTCCATTCTTTATTCTGTTCTTTTTCATCCCTTTTCCCTTTCCTCCTTCCCACTCCCTCCATCATTTACTTCTTTTCCTGTTTGACAGAGATCTCCCTATTTCCTATTATCTATCTTTTATTTTGCTCTTTATTTTTATTTTGGGTTTTTCATATAAGAAAAGCCATGTGATATTTAAACTCTTATTTTTTAATTCACTTATATTTGAGATGCATCCATTTTCCTACAGATGTCTCAAGTTGATCCTTCTTTATGGCAGAGTAATGCTCCATAAGTGTGTATAAATACCACACTTCCTCTATCTTTTCATCTATTGATGGGCATACAAACTGTTTCCAAGATTTAACTAATATAGGGGCTGGGGACTTAGCTCAGCGGCAAAAGCACCTGCCTGGCAAGTGCAAGGCCGTGAGTTCGGTTCCCGGTACCGGAGAAAAACCCAAAAAAACAAAACAAAACAAAGATTTAACTAATATAAGTTGTGTTGCTATAAACATGGGTATACATGTATCACAGTAATATGATGCCTTTAACTCTTTCAGGAAGATATCTGGAAAAGGAATAGCAAGCTAGGTCAAATGGAATTTCTGCTTTTAGTTTTTTGAGGGGTCTCCGTACTAATCTCCATAGTAATAGTACTAGTTTACATTACCACCAACAATGTAGAGTAATTTCTTTTTCCTCTCAGCCTCAGGAGCATTTGTTATTATTTAATTTCTTGATGATAGCCATTCTTTCTGGAGTAAGCTGGCTACTCAGTATTATTTTAATTTGCATTTCGCTGGTGGCCAGTGATGTTGAACATTTTTCATGTATTTATTAGCCATCTGTATCTCTGAGAAGTGTCTATTCATTTTTGCTGCCCATTTTTTGATTGGGTCTTTTATTTGGGAGGTTAATTTTCTTGAGTTCCTTGTATATTCTAGATCAGTGATGGCAAACCTGTGGCACAGGTGCTGTACCAGGCTGTTTGTATCATTGCATGCTCTAAAAGGTTCACCATCACTGCAAATCTAAATATTAGTCCTCTATCTGAGGAATAGCTGGCAAGATTCTTTTCCCATTCTGTAGGTTGTCTCTTCACTCTATTGGTTGTTTCCTTTGTTGTACAGAAGCTTTCTAATTTGATACTATTCCATTTGTTGATTCTTGATATTATTTCTTCTGCCATTGGAATTCTGTTCAAAAAGTGCTTGTCTTCACCTTTGTATTCAAGAGTTTTACCTATTTATGTTCCAGCAGATTAAGTGTTTCTGTTTTAACATTTAAATCATTTTGATTTTAGGTTAGTACATGGTGAGATATATGGCTCCATCTAGACAGTCTTCTGTGTGTGGATATGCAATTTTCTCAGCACCATTTATTAAAGAGGCCACCTTTCCAGGAGTGTATGTTTTTGGCCCCTTTGTCCAAGATCAAATAACTGACTGTGTCTGAGGTCATTTCTGCTTTCTCTATTCTGTTCCACTGATTCACTTGTCTATTTTTGTTCTAGTATTGTGCTGTTTTTAATCACTGTAGCTTTGTAATACAACTTCACATCTAGGATTATGATGCTTCCTGCTTTGCTATTGTTACCCAGAATTGCTTTTACTATCCTAGGTCTCTTCTGGTTCCACATGAATTTTTGGATTGTTTTCTCTGGATGTGTAAGGACTGCTTTTGGTATTTTGCTTGGGATTGTGTTAAATCTGGGTATCATTTTTGCAAGTATAGCCATTTTGACTATCTTGGTTCTGCCTGTTCAGGAACATGGGATATCTTTTTCCATTTTCTGATGTCCTCTTCACTCTCCTCTTTCAGAGAGATGTAATTTTCATTGTTGAAGTCTTTCACTTCCTTGGTTATGTTAATTCTTATTTAGTTTTTCTTGATGCTACTTTTAATTTTTTTTCTTAATTTCTTTATTGGTGAGTTCACATTGTTTAGTATTGATTTTTGTGTATCATATATCCTGCATTACTGAACTTGGTTATTAATTCTAGGAGACTTAGTGTAATTTTTGGGCCTTCTAAGTAGCAAAGCATGTCATCTGCAAATGATGATGCTCTGATTTCTTCCTTTCCCATACATATCTTTTATTTCTTTCTCTTGTCTGACTGCTTTGGCTAATGTTTCAAGGACTTCAGCAGGAGTGGTAATAGTAGACATTCTTATCTTGTTTCTGATTTTAGAGGGATAGGTTTCAGTTTTTCCGCATTTAACATGATGTTGGCAATAGGTTTGTTGTAAATAGCTTTTATCAGACTGAGATAAGCATCTTCTATACCTGTTTTCTTTAGGGTATTGATCAAGAATGGATGTTGGATTTTTGTTAAGGGCTTTTTCTGTATCTCTTGAAATGACCATGTCATTTTTGTCCTTGCTTCTGTTTATATGATGGGTTGCATTTATTGATTTGCATATGTTGAACAATCCTTGCATCTCTGGGATGAAGCCTACTTGGTCACAGTGTCTAATTTTTTTTTATGATTTGTTGCGTTCTGTTTGCCAATATCTTTACATCTCTGTTTATCAGAAGGATTAGCCTGTAGTGCTCTTTTTTTTTTTGGATTCTTGTCTGGTTTTGGAATCAGGGTGATACTAGCTTCCAGGAATGACT